GATCTGTGCGTAAGAGTCTTGAAGATAACAAGGTGATAAGCTGCAGGCATACAGGACTGTCAAGAAGAAATCCTACCAGAGCAGACTGTCCTTTTCCTTTTTCTTTCTTTTCTTTTCTTTTTTTTTTTTTTCCTCCTGACAGAGTAAGCAATCAGGGAAGAAAAAGGAGTTTTCCTTTATTCCCACTACAGTAAGGCTATTCACACTCATTTCCATGATATTCACAAACCAGCTATATATATACACTCTGGGTAAAACTGGTGGAATATGGATGCACAGCCTCAAAGAGAAGCCTATTTGCAAGAAAGTCCTTAGGGTTTTGCATCAGATGGGAAGGGGGCTGCAGGGGACCCTCCTATGTTGCTCAGTCTTGTTCTTAGTGGCTTTGTAAGTGCAACAGAGATGATTTTCATTGAGCCTGATGACACTGTCATGCCAGGAGGCATGGGGAATGCATGGGGAACAGGATCAGAAGTCAAAGTGGTCTTCAGAAGCTGGGGGACGAAACAGAAAAGGAATTGATATGGACAGGCACAGCACAGAAATACATAATCCACTGAAGAAATACAAGTTAGAGAACAGCTTGTAGGAGAGCAGGTAGGAAAGTTTCAGGTTTTAGTGGTCTTAACGGGTCACAGTATGAATATATTTCTCTATTCAGAGATCAGTGTTATCCTTGGAGAGATGGACATGAGTACAATCTCTGAAAAAGCCTCTTCTCTCTGTTTAGTACTGATGCGGCTCTGTCAGTAGTATTATGCTTGACTGTAGCAACCACATTTCCCTAAAGCTGTAGATGGGTTTATGAGAGAGCTTAGAGAAGAAAAACAAAAATAATCAGAAGTCTAGAGAGGATCATCTCTGCTTTTTTTTTTTTTTTTTTTGAGTTTGCTGAGAAAACTGCATGCTAACCTCTTCACTTGCTGCAAAAGAATGAAGACTTTTTTTCAGTTGGTGGTAGATAGGACAAAAATCTCCTTTACACCTTGTGCTGTGGTGGAGGACATACAGGCTGGACATTAGAAAACCTTTCTCATAGTGAGTATATTGAGCAGGCTGCTTAGGGAGACTGGGGAGTTTTTAACTGGAGATACAAAATGCTTGTGTCTTCCAGGATCTGTGTCACAGTAATGCTGCTATAGGTAGGGAAGTAAATAACAAGAGAGCACATCAGAGAACGTAGACAGCATAGCTGCAAAAACCAGACGGCCCTTTGGGCCAAAAAGGTTCCTCTTCCAGTCTCAAGCTGCTGACAATCTGGCTTTGCAGTGGTCTGGGCTGCATCACTGCAGGTCCGTGCCAGACAAAGAGAAGAGGCGGGAGATGATGTTCTATGATGAGAGAAGCTTTGCAGCTCTTTTGGAAACATAGCAGAGGTACCTGCGTGCATTTATTGATGACTTCAGCCTTATTTTACTTTCCAAATAGTAACAACAGGTTGCATGTCTATCAGGGCAAGAGGATCCTCTCATCTGCTGCAATTTAAGTGCCTGGGAGCTGCTGTCTTTAGAAGAATGTCAGGTTCAGGTTTTGCATCCACAAGGAAAAGTGGAAGGATTTGCAGTCTTGAGAGAACTGTCTTCCATCCTGTCCATTTTATCCAGTTCTGTTCTTCTTTTCACAGCCAGTTTTTTTGTTCACACACTACTCTGAAGGGAATATAGACTTCTAGCAGCACTGACAAATATCTACTTAATGGTATCAGATACTGATGCTATTATAACTCCTGCTCATGTCTACCTTCCAGAAAGCAATCAATTCAGTGTGGTTAATCGAACTGAAATGATAAGCTGGCAAAAACTTTATGCTTGCTTAGAAACTGACTTCAGGCAGTTCAGAAGCTTCCCTGTCACTCAGTCCTTTCCACAGCCACTCAGCAGTGATTTCTCCAAACCTCCTTGAAAACTTTGCCTTTTAAAGATTGGAATTTCCACACCAAATTTGGAAAAACAAGATTTAGTTGGATGAGGCACCAACACGTCGTACAGCTGGTGTAATGGAGGTCAGCAGGACCATGTTGTCTCACTGTAATTCAGGCTGCTTTCTGAATGCCCTGATATTTACAGGAGGACAGATCATGTTCCTAGAATCCAAAGAGCAATTGCAGAGTTCTTAAGGGCAACATCACTGAAGCTGTTGCACAAGATGTGGAGAATGAAGGAGGGAGAACAGGAAGGTCTGCAGCTCTCACTGTCTGGACACAAAGAAAAGCAAAAAGGAAAAAAGACAGAAAGGTAGCCAGAACTGACAACATGTGAGGGGAATATTACCTTTTCAGAACTGCACCTGGATCAGGAAGAAGCTGAGTGCAGCTGAGCTGGATGGGTACATGCAGGTTACACTCACAGCTCTGTGTTCAGTGAGCAAACAGTGATATAAGTTTTGTGTCTTCAGCCTCTAGCACAAAGCTACCCATAAATATGAGTAGTATGTTCTTCTCAGGCCTGGCAGAGCAGAAAAGAAGGTCAGGATGAGGACAGTGATCCACCATCAGTGCAGCGAGGCTGCATCAGAATGGGGCTGAGCTGCACTGAGCCATGAGCAAACCAAGGACACCCGTGGCAGCACTACAGCTGTGTGGGAACAGCCTTGTTATGAACTCGGTTTCCCACTGTACATAAACACTTAACTTCCCCTGCAAAAATCTTTGCTGCTGGCATTTCTGACCCCTGGTTAGGAAAGACTATGGATGAACAGGTCCTGCTCAGGTCATGCTATGGGAAACATGATCCCAGTTTCAGCTTCTGCCTGAAATAACTACACGAGCTATGTAAACTGCTTGTTATTATAAAAGAAAATACAGGAGGATTCTCACCCGTAGTTATATCTAACTGCTTTCCCTACCAGACCAAAAAGGAAGATCACTGTGTCTATATTTAACACTAGATAAGGGCCAGTTAGTTGGCTCCTTTCCTTGCCTTTCGTTTTTCTCTTTTAAGGCAAATGGTGACAGATCCTTAATATGCATTACTTACAAGTTGGAGGGGCAAAATCTTGCAGCAAGTGGAGGGACAGTGCAGCCAGGGAGAGGGAGAAAGGCTGAGACCTGGGTTTGTTGCATGGTTGCCTATGAAATTTTATCACTTGAGTTTACCTCAGTGGTGCAGTTCTGGTGTGAACACGTCGTGACTTTGCAGAGCAAAGAAACGCGTACATCCCTGCAGGCTGTCACTGTGTTCCCAACGAGATTTGCTAGTGTGTTAGTATCTCTTTACGAATAAAGGATAACCAAGTCAGAAAACATAACTTTCTGTGATTAGAGCAATCAAATTTTCGTATCAAGCTGGGATGTCTGAGATCTGCAGATATGGGCTTCAAGGCCTGCATGCAGCTGAGGGGCTTCTGGCTGTGTCTGTGGGCCCTGACCTGGTCGCATCATTCTCTGGCAGTGGACAGAAGGGAGAAAACATTTGCATGTCTCTTTGTGAAGAACTCGCAGTACTGACCGGATCCAGCCTGAGAAGAGGCAACGGCCAAAAACCAAAGAAACCAAACAAATAAAAATGCACGATGGGCTAATATAAACAGCATGTCAAGAGGGAAGTAGCTTACAGTGCTCATGTACCAATAAGAGCCATTACCTTCTTCCACTCTCTTCATCACGGCTTTCCCCCATAGTCAGCCACTGCCCACAGAAATGTTGCTATGACAGCTGGACCTACAAGAATCCAGATACTTGGATGTCTTTGAAGAAGGGAACAGCCACTGATGTCTCTTATCTGAACTCCAATAAAGCCTTTGACACAGTTCCCCACAGCACCTCTGCTTCCTGCTCCAGGTAACCCCATGAGTGGGATGCACTGATGGGATTGTGTCATTGCGCAGGCCTGCCTCTTACAGCAGCCGTTCCCACAGAAAATGGAAAAAACACTGTTCCCCTGGTCTTTGTGTGGACTGGGCACTGAGTGTGAGGGTGGGAAACACCCAGCACTTGGGCACATCCAGTGCTCCTGCCCAGAACTTACAGAAAACCCAACGTGCTGTTTAATTGGTTACAAAATTAACTCCTCCTCCCCATCCCCCCAAAGTCTGTCTCGGGATAACAAGGTGCTTAATAACAACGATTCTCTTGCCCTTCCCTTCCTTGCCCAGCTCTGCTTTACAGAGGTTTCTGGAGGCTCTCCTACTGCCCTCTGTGGGCAGTCTCGAGGCGTATGTCGGGAACAGAGTCTCACAAACCTCGGCTTCTCTCACGGCCGTATGCTGAGTCTGCTTATAAAAACAGGCACCTGGTAGCACCAGGTGAACGGTACACCTGCTTCGGCTGCCGACGCAATAAGGAGCCTAGGAGAAGGCAGCTGTAAAGGTTTTGCACGGCAGAGATGGAAGAATTAGGAAGGGTTGCCTTGGGGGACGCAGGTTCAGCATTCACTTGGGTCGGTGTGCTTTATTTCAGGGACTCTCTGTGATTTCAGGCTTTCGGTCAGAAGCTCTGCGCACTAACACAGCGGCAGCACGCGGTGCGCGGAGCCCCGGACAGCCCCGCATCGACGGCGGCCGCGGACACCGGCCGGGGCGCTGCGGTCCCGCCGGGCCGGGGCTTCGCGCTGCGGGGCTGCAGCACCCCCTGCAGGGCCCGGCCGCAGCACCCTGTGCCCCAGGAGCACGGCCAGGTGCCGTGCGGGTTCTCTGTGCCGTTCTGTGCTCCGTGCTCTATGGCGTCCCAACGCGGACAGCCCGGCTCGTTCCGGAGCCGAAGCACAGGCACGGCTCCTTCTGGGAGCTCCCCGCGTTGTCCGCCGGGTTTCTTTTTGCAGCAAAACGCACCGCTCCGTAGAACCCCGGAAGGGCCAAACCGAGCCGAGCCGTGCCTGGCACGGCCGGGCGGAGACACAGGGGCGGAGCGGCGGGCGGGACTGGGGGAGCGGGCACCTCCCCGGGGCGGGGCGGATCTGGCACGGCACGGCTCGGCACGGCCTGACCCCGCACAGCCCCTACCGGCCGGGTAGGGCAGGGCCGGGCCGAGCCGAGGGAGGAGGGCGGGGGTCGGGGGTCGGGGAGAGGCTCCGTGCCGCTGTGCTCAGCCCGGCGCGGCTCGGGAACGCGGCGAGAGACTGGCACGGACTAAAGTTATCCCGGAATAAGGCTGCACGCATGTGCTGTCACCCCGGATGTGAACATGCCGGCCCGGCTCCCCACTAGCTCGCTCCGCCCGGCTGTAGCGGATGGGCCGAGCCGAGCCGTGCCGAGCCGTGCCAAGCCGTGCCAAGCGCGGCGGCGGCGGCCGTACGCGGCCAGCGAGGGGCCGGGACGGGCAGGAGCCGTGAGGGACCGGGTGCGAGAGGCTCCTCCGGCCAAGGGGCAGCCCCGAGGGGTCGGGCAGCAACCCCCGGCACGACCCGGCACGGCCCCGCTCGGCCCGGGGCGCCGGGAGCCGGGGGGAGGGGCGAGCCCGCAGCCCCGGGAGGGATGGATTTTCGGGGGAAGAAGTACGAGCGCGGCAGCAACTGGTCGGACCCCGAGGTGGTGGAGCTGCTCCAGCTGTGGGCGGACGAGTCGGTGCAGCTGGAGCTGGAGAGCTGCCTTCGCAACCAGCACGTCTTCAACCGCATCGCCGAGGTGCTCCGCGAGAAGGGCATCCACCGCACCGGGGACCAGTGCCGCGAGAAGATCAAGAAGATGAAGCTGGAGTACCGGCGCATCAAGGACAACAGCAAGGCCCCGCGGGGCGGCCGCACCTGGAAGTTCTACGACGTGATGGACCGAGTGCTCAACAGCCGGCCAGCGCTGGCCTACGGACCCATGGGCGGCGGTTTGATGGCCGGCCAGGTGCTGCCGGGCGGCGTGATGGACGGCTACCACCACCAGTTTGCCGCCCCTATCCTGCCCTTCGGGCACTCCCAGCACCCCGAACTGATGGAGATCAAATGCGAGGAGGTGAACTCTGACGAGCACTGCCTGAGCCCAGAGCCCCCGGCAGCCGTGTCTTACCAGCAGGGCTGCCCTGAAGAGCACGAGATAGAGAGAGCCTTCCTGGAGAGGGCCCAGAATGACTCTCCCATCTCCAGGGTGGAAATTCCCATTGAAACCAGTGTTTCACCTTCAGGTAGGGATAGACTTCTGCATTCCAGCATAGGGTTGCTGCCTTGTTTCCCAGAAAGAGAGGGTTTTGTTCTGGTGCACAGAGAGACACCTGTTTTTTTGCACTGATCCTTGTTTTTCATGCCCCAGAAAGCTTTAAAGTAGAAGGTTGGTAACAGTATTAATTGCCTTCTGGCAGTTCCTGACACGTCTTGGCGCAGGTAAATAAAATCTACAGTTACTGCTCTAGGCTAAATACTGCATATGAACTCCAAAGGACTGGAGCATCTACTCTAAGCTGGGATAGGTATTTGTGCTAGATTTCCCTGTGTAATGCAGACAGTACATGCGTTATTCCAAAAAAAGAAAAAAAAAGAAAAATTGCATGCTTTTTGGTATTGACTGAATGTGACCAGGGCTGTCTGCAGTCCCCATGCTGAATTGTATAAGGAGACCCTCTTCTTCCGTTGCAACCTGTAAACCTGCAGGTGAAACTTCTCTTATGTTCTATTTGAATGTTTTCCACATCTCATCTTTTAGGATACTCAGCAACAGAGAATACTTGGAATAATCATTGCCCAGCTTCCTAATCTGCTGACTAGAACTTGGAAAGAAGACGTTTTTGGAAATCACTGGTAGAAACAGCTGATCTGTTTACAGGAGATGAGAACTCTGTGCTGGGAGTGCATTTGGCCATTGTTTGGGTGCACAGAAAGATAGACTCTGGAGATCGTGGTGATTTCCAACCAGTCTAGGATAGGCTGATGGAAGAGTTCAGCTTTCTTGGGAAGAAGACGGGTGATAGTCAGTATGAGGTTCATTTTTGAGATCAGGAAGAACGGCTATAGTTATCTTAACCAAATTATGTTTAAGGTCCCTTCCAACCCAGGTCATTCTGAGCTATGTCCTCCTCACCATGGTGAGTGCGTGGGTAGCCGATGGCAGGATCCTTGAATTAAGCCCAGTAGTGATCACTGGGGTTAATTCAGAAAGCAAGTGAGAGCTAGAGCAGTGGCTTGCAGCACAGTGGTGAGCCTGGCGTGTGAAGTCAAAGACTGCAAACAAAGTTACAAACTCCAAGATGTACTTGACTGATTTTGCTTTGTTTTCCACACAAATCCTGCCGCAGTGTATTCGAGGTCAGGTAGCGGGAAGCAGCAAAGCACACCTATGCCATTTAACTTACCTCGTGTTTCATTTTTTCCCGCTTTCACACAACCACAGGTTTCAGTGAGCCCAGCATGGCCAACTCATCCCGGATGCAGAACGCAGTTCCTCGGCCCGGCTTCTCCACCTTGCACCGCCTGCGGAAGAAGCGGAAAAGCCAGCGGGTGAAGGACCCGCTCGACGAGCTCCTGCTGAAGACCCTGACGTCACAGCGGGCCATGGAGGAGCGTTTCTTGCAGATGGAGGAGCGGCGGTTCCAGCGGGACCTGGACGTGGAGGAGCGGCGGATGCAGCTGGAGCAGCGGCGCTTCGAGCTGGAGCGCGAGCACGAGTTCCGCATGTTCAGCGTTTTCGCCCAGATGCTCAGCATCCTGAAGCGGAGCCACGGCGGCGCATCCCCTTCCCTGGCCATGCCTCCAGGCCTGGACTTCAGCCAAACGCTGTCGGAACTGACGGGCCGGGTGGGAAGAGGCGACGAGCGGTGGCCGAGGGCCGGAGGGCTGGCGGTGAGCCGGGGCGACATGTGTGGCTTCTGCCCCCCGGAGGAGTTCCGGCGCAGCCCATACCTCTCCGCTCGCGGTAACGTCGCCAACATCTTCCGGGGCTCCGACGAGGAGGGGTACAAAGCGTACCACGCTGACAAGTATGATGAAGACACGAACCCCAACGTGAGTGAGGCTCTTAACTAACGCTCGGCACTTTTTCTGCCCGTTACAGCTCCGCTGCTCGGTACGCAGCTCCTCGCACACCCCCTGGCGGCACAGAAGCTGAATGTTAATGTTTGGTACTGAATGAGTAACAAATACAGTGAATGGAAGTCGTGATTTGTCTGGGGATTACTTTTAAATAGATCCAGTATTCCGATCCTGAACAACATGAAAATGTCAGAATGTTTTTTTCCGACCCCTAACTGCAGTCATGGTGTAGGGAGGTGGGGGGGGTGCAAACTAGATAAGATCTAAAAGCACAGTAATTATTTGATAAGGGATGTGTTATGAGGCACAAACTGCTAGCTCTTCCACTAACTTCTACTAACGATGTGAAAAGTAGATAAACACCTAAATTGGGACTTGACCTTTAGTAGCACCATTCACTTCCAATTGTTTAGACTCCATTTTGTGTTTAAATTAAAAACATTTTATGTTTTTAATTTGTTTATCCAGCTTCTTCCAGTGTTGAGTATGTGATGGTGGACTGGAGTTCTTCAGCACCCTATGACTGATTTAATAAGCAGGGCCAGAACCCTAGCCCTGCAGCTGTAGAATTGCCTCTCCAGAGGGGAAAACTTAATGTTTTAACCACTCTTCATGACTGTGTGCTATGTGACATTTGAAAGAGTGAGTGGAGTGGAACAGAAGGACTGATAAACAACTAAATTTAGGTGAAGAAATGTTTCAAAAACATTTCTTTAAACTGCTGCAGAAGCGTAAACCTCAGTTTTCACAGAAGTGTTTCACACGTATTTGCAGTTAGATGCACAGATGGGTGAATTCAAGAATAAGTTAAACATTCTGTAAAGAAGAATGAGCTGTTAGTACTCATCCATTTGCAGAAAGCTTATTGCCTAAGAGCCTGAGTGTCTGAGATATGTCTGTGAGCACACACCTGCATATATACCTCTCTAATTATATACTATTATGTGAACTGTGCTGTGACTTTTCCTTGGTAGGCTTTTTGGGGGCAATTCAGTGGAATGACAGCTAAGGTGATGTACATGCGTGTTGATTTTGTGTATGTGTGTCCATAAATGATACGCTATTTCTTTTTCTAGGGTATAATTAATTTTGGCACCAGTGAGAATAAGCTCTGCTTTGACCTGATGTCCAAACGGGTAAGTCCTGTTTGTAAGAGAAATACCAAATATAATACGTGGTTTCTCCTCAGTGTCTTTCCTAGAGTCATTGCTATTGTTAGGGTTTCTCTGGTAAAATTTTTCCTCATGAATTTCTTACTGTTGAAGGCCACTTCTGAATCCAGCTATTTGTACACTTATTGATGTTGTTTTTCCAGGAGGACAGAAGCAGGGAGTTTTCTGTTCCCTTTCATTGTGTTTCCCTGGAAAGGGTGTACTTGGCTCCTTGAGATATTTAAGACTCAGTACTTAAGTGAAGATAAGATGCATTTCATTTTCTCCTACTGACCATATTTTATTTAATACGGAGGTTTCAGAACTACTTCAGACTCTACTTAATTTCCAGAACCTTCACAGCTTGGGACAGAGAAAGTTGACTCTGTCTGTTGTGAAGCTGCACAGTTTGAGCACCCAGTTCAGAACTCATCTAAAGTTTGAGAGGATGGCAGCAGCGAATGTGACATCTCATGAAATCTCTTGAAATCATACTGGGGCAGCTGCTAGTTGGATGCTTTGTTCAGTTCCATGAAAAGTGGCATTTTTTTCTCATTAAAAAAAAAAGGCAAAAAGAACAACAGAGCTGTGCTTTCAAGGGGTGTTTCTTGATTTTTCATTAAAATTATTGCTCAGATTCAGCCCCCTGGGTGGGAAGGCTGCCCTTTTCCTAGCTGCAGCTGCCTGGGGGGGGGAAGGTAGCTGAGTGTCTGACAGTTGGTCTCTGCAGCTTGAAACTCGCTCTTACTCCCATTCCACCAATTCCCACCCTCAAAATGTTCCTTTTATTCCTTCCCCCCACACCATTGACTCGGGGATGCTACCCCACCGCTTGGCCTTCCAGCTAAAGGAACAGGTAAGGCAGAGCTGCTGCCTGGTGGCTGTGCTCTCAGAAGGTGCCCTATGGGCTGTGTAGGTTGTGCCTTCCTTCCTTCACCATCCTTTCCCTAAACTAACACAGTGTCTGCAGCAAGTAGTGCAGAGGGAGACAGCAGCAAGTCACGTCTTCATTAGCCTGGTTGTGGAAATGAGCTGTAGTATGATGAGCTGTCACGCACGTGGCAAGAAGTTACTGCTTCCAGCTTCTTCATCACAGCCCAGAGTTACAGAAAGGGTTCACTGACTGCAGCATCAGCTGAGATTGTAGGAAAAAAAAACTTTGTTGCTGTTGGGGACAGGAAGTACTCAGTTTCCACAGAGTAAAATAATGTATTGGATTTCTGCCTTCAACTTTTGGCCCTTAAATTGGCTAACGTTCAGTGGTATGAGATCTCAGATAATCTTCATTTTGGTTGGCCCATCTGGTTTCTTAATCCTTAGACAATTATCCGGAAGGGTTCTCCTCTTCATTACTGCATGGCCATTTTTGGCCGAGTCTGCTGGTAGTTTTGTGTTGCATTATCTAGATAATTTTAGTAGGGAGGTCTAAGGAGACGTAGTTCTGTGCTACCCAGACATCAAGAACATCTGCGTGTGAATGAAGGAACTTTAATCTCATATGTCAGGTCAATTCTGCATGGGATGGATGAGGACAGTGTCTTTGAACACTAGAGCTTGGCACAAGTTATTAAGCACTGATACAGAATGCTGTGGATTTGCTATTTCTTACAGACTTTTGCACTGCATGTTAAATATCCCTCTCCCTTTGCACCGTCACTTACTTGTCATGTCCTTTTAGTATTAACTCACAGACTTGGTAGTTATCAAATATTTGCAAGGTACATTGTACATAACATTTGTTTGTTCCCTTTTTGTTCACATAAAATGTCCTCTTCTCTATTCCCTGATCACGACTGCACTTTCCCTTGCAACTTCATAGAACTGGATCATGTGAAACCCTGAAAATTGCAATCCTGAAAATGTTTAGATAAAAGCAATCCGCATATCTTATCTAAACATAAACCTTAAAAGGGGCTGTGAAGCTTTCACACAGTTCAGGTGATTCTGACTTGAAGAACAGAATAAACTATTTGGCATCCTTTTTGTAGATCTCTGCGCAGTGAAGTTTTGGCTACAATAATTTGGCACCACTTCCTATGAGTTGAAGTATCACTGATCAGCTTGCTGTTCTTTGCCCCTCCGAGCTGCCTTAATTCTGATGGTCAGTGGCTTTCTCAGTCCAGTTTTAAGGCTGTTGAAGTGTTGTGTGTGCATGTCTATGCAGAAGCGTGCCTGCCCATGGGTTCTGTCTCTTTCTGTTTCCAAAATTGGTGACTGTGCTTTTAACGTGTCTTCCTGTTGCTCACAGCTGACACAGGCCGATATGAACCTCATGGAGCCACTGCTGCTTCAGTATCCCGACTGGAAGGGACACATGTTGTAAGTCCTCTCATTTCTGTAATGCTTCTCTGAGTACCTGTCTGAAAACAGAATGGATGGGTACGAACTGCTTCTCTTACACAGTAGTTAAAACAACTTCTAGGTCATAGGATCATATTTTTATTTTCAAAACAGTAATTGGTCATCCAACTTAAAATCCTTTGAAAATCCAGTTTAAAATCATTTTAAGTAAGAGAAGATGCTAATTTTCTATACATTAAGAGATGAGCTAACTCCAGAAAGTTCTTTGAAGCCCTGTTAACATCGAGGACTTTAATCCTTCAGTTCTCTTTAATGCTTTTCAGAAACGTCTGTGCAGCCATAGCCATTGTCCGTGACACCTTTGCCATGTGTAGCAGTCACATCTGTGGCATGGGCAGTCTGCGTCAAATTTTACTGTGCCCTGGCTTTATTTTCCTGAGATGTGGACCTGGGGAAGCCCAGCCTCTTGGAGAATAAGCTGAATCAATATTTGCTTTTGTGTCTTTCTCAGTTTACGGGAGGAAGTGGCTCGATTTTTGACCTATTACTGCAAGGCCCCTGCACCTCTTAAGGCAGAAAATGTGGGTAACCCACTTTCCATTGGTGTCTATTCTAATGTATTGCCATTTGTTATCAAACAATTTCATTTTATTTTTTTAAACAAATGATTTTGTAGAATGACAGCCTTTTATCATGTAAATGAGATTGGATCATAGCCATTTGAGTTGCTTTTGTTGCACACATCAGCCAAAACATTTCAGTTCTACTGTGTATTTGCCTTATTCTTTACTTCTTTGTGCCAGCTCCTCATTCCATTGCTCCCAGAGAGGCTTGTGTTTTTATCTCCTCGTTCAGCTCTGAGACCTTCTGGGCTCATGTTCCTCAGCCTTGACAAAGAGTGTCCATTGTTTCTGATGGGTTTAATTTCATACTATTCTGCTGTTGCACCTCAGGACAAAATCTGTCATTGAGCCAATGATAGTTTTACCTGGCAAGAACAGAAATTTTCAACACGTGAATCTTTGCAGGACTTTCTGATTTAGGAGGGGTGAAGGCTGGGCTTGGTGCATGCATGAGTCCTGCTTTTGCTGGGTGGTAGAGGCAGCAGGATCTGGTACTATTGCTTCTCTTCTGCCTGCAGTAACTCAGCAGAAACTGCTGCTTCACATAAACTGAATTCATCACTGATCATTGCCTCTCCAAGGCAGCAGATTCTACCTGACGCTTGGATTGAAACTCCTGGGGCCTCTGTGCATCAGTCTTCTAGAAACAGGAGACAAACTTGCTTCTCTATGCTTCTATTGCACTAATTTGGCAGGAGGTAGGATCTGCTATTATCACAAAGAGAAGACATAACAAATAATAGAAAGGCAACTGGACAAAGTATGATGAAAGAGAGTCCAGGATTAATGTTGTTTCTGGTAGAAGTGAGATGTCAGCAGGAAAGTTCTGGGAACACCCATGCTAGAGGATTAGGGAGAAAATATATTTTGTTGGTGGTGTTTCTATGGACGTATTTATCACTAGTCTCTCTCTTTCTTCACTAGGTGATTGTTCTGAACGGTTGTGGCTCTTTGTTTTCTGCATTAGCTACAGTCCTGTGTGATCCAGGGGGTAAGTGGTTTGCTGGAAAATATATTTAATGGTTTTTTTTTTTGTTATTGTTGCTTGGAAATAATGTGTTACTTAGTTTAAATACTGTTTTGTGGAGGTGAAATAATATGGAATTAGCACTGATCTACTGAAATGTAGGTTATGCTTATGCTTGGAATACTGAGGATGTGTATAAGTGTCCCAGTTTTTGCAGAAGACTGTAGAATTGATATAGAAAGAAAGTGGAGAAAAGAGTAGTAACATTAAAATATTTCCAAAGTGCATAACTGTAAAAAAGCTTTCATGCTCAACTGAAGTCTGTTAGAGGGGAAGGAAGGACAGCAATCTGTTGCTAACAAGTTTTGTTGTCTTGGTTCCAGAGGCTGTTCTGATTGCAACTCCTTTTTATGGTGGTATCACCCAGAGCGTCTTCCTGTATGGCAACGTCAAGCTGGTGTATGCCTATTTAGACAGCAAGGTAAGAGTTGAGGAAAGGGAATACCGACCTCCACAGTTAAAAAACAATTGGCACAGGAAAGTGCCGAGCTTTGGGGACTCAAAACAAGGCTAGGCAGCAGCCTGTGGTTTCATTTAGGGTTGAGAAATTGGACACATCATTTTCAATAAACTTGCTGAAGACCATAAATCTAGTTTCCAGTCTTGTCCTTTTCTTGTGTCTTGCTCCCTATAAATATGTAATAATGACTCCTGGTGGGGAAAAATGGCCATTTTGGTGTCAGACATATGTATTGTCCTACAGGAGATGGTCTGTCCCAGAGGTGTAAGAATGCATGGCTATCTGACATTGCTTTAGTTGTTAAGGATACCCAGAGAATTCTCTGCCTGTGGCCAGTCTATGGTGAAAATTTCTTTGATATTATGTATTTATTCTCTCTGTAGTGAAAAAGGAAAAAGGGATGGATGCTAGTCATTATTGCTATGTTTTTATTTTGTTTTTTGTTTTGTTTTGTTTTGTTTTTGAGACAGATTGTTGAAATGATTTGGCCTTTTTAATTTTATCTTTGTGGTGTGTTTCAGATTACTGGAACAAGCACTCGGCCTTTCCAGCTTACTGTGGAAAAACTGGAAAAGGCCTTGCAAGATGCCCAGGCAGAGGTAAGCATAGATGAGCTTCACATTACTGGTCAAGGTTACAGTATGTTTCAGATGGCTGGTCCCAGATGTGACCTGAAGAGCAAAACATTTTCAAAACCTAGCACCTGGCTTTCTCGTGGTCCTTATAGACAACCTGAGGTCAGGCTGCTTGCAAATCCTGCCTGCTCTTGTGGTAGAATATTCAGCAGCACTTCCCAGAGGAATCCCACTGTATCATGCATACCTGGGCATGCACTAAAATTTAGGGTCTTCACAGGGTTTTTTCTTCAGGAGTGCCAGCTGGGTTACCCAAAATGGACTGCTCTACTCAGTAGTGCAGATTTATCCACTAAGAACAGCATGAATTGCAGGAGGTAGTGAGGGGCAAATCTAGAAGGTAAATACGGATGTGTGCTACCTGTCTGAATATTTAGTCTTTAAGTTTTGAGATTGTCCTAAACCCAGTGTATGTTTAGCTTCATCTTTAGATCATTAGCAGCTCTGACTCCAGCCGCTTGTGCTCTATATATGAGCAATTCACATCCATGTACCTCAAATTGCTATTTTTCTTGCCTTATTAACGGGCAGTCTTCAGTAATCTGCTACTTAACAATGCTGATACAGATCAGAGAGAATTCTCTTTTATACTGAGAATATGAGAAGGCATCTTTCTTATAAATGAGCAGCAATCATTGCAGACTCACCGTTTTCAAACTCATAGATTCATTCTATCATATTTTCCTCAGTTCACTTTGCAAGTGCCATCATTATAAAAATGTCATTTGTGGCTACAATTTTTTCATCCAAATCTAACTTTTGTGGTGAAATGTCATAGTAGAGGCTGAAGGAGAGTCTTGCGTCGTGCTCACTGCTCCTTGGAGAGACTGAAAGTTTATCCCACGGTGAATGCTCTCTTATTATCGTGTTGTTTGTGTTCTGCAGGGTGTAACTGTAAGGGCCTTAATTCTTCTGAATCCCCAGAATCCACTTGGGGACATCTACTCCTTGTCAGAGCTACGGGATTACCTGGAATTTGCTAAAAGGTATGCTGGTTTGGAAGGCTGAGATAACCAGAGGCAGATACGGCTTTCAGAGCCTGATGGTCTACCTTACCTTAATTGGTCTGTACCTTAATTTATCTGTGAATATCTTCTCAAAAGATAAAAACCCAAACCTGTTCTCCTCACATAGAGATAGTAAAGAGAGGAGAGTGGGCTGGTGGAGAGAAGGGAGTGTGGACCATCCAGTCGGCTGGAGGGACAAGGCAACTTGCATCAAGGAATATTAGCAGTTTTACTGACAGTCCTAGCAAACACTGTGGTGCTGTGTATTTGGTAGGAAACTGACTTTCTTTCCTCTCATTTTCTCTGTATGTGCAGAGAATAAGAAATATTTGAATATGGCTGCCCATCTTCACCACGAAATGCTCTCTGCAATTGGCCAATTTCAAATGGACAACAACACAATGTGGTTTAGAGGGGTAGTACATATAGGAGTTAATTTTCACAATGGAAATGACTGAAATTTTATCCCATTATACACAGTTGCAGTGGGTAACAATTATCTGGATATATCTCCAATCAGTTCAGTGTACATAGTTCAATATAATAGACCTTCTGAGTTGTGAAAAAATACTCTGTGTTGCAGAATTTGATGTATAAAGGTAGCCTTTGCAGGGTTCTCAATTTCTCTTTGCTTCTCAGCCAGAAGCAGCATTCTTTTCTGATTTCCATTTTGTCCTTCTGCAGACACGAATTGCATGTGATAGTAGATGAGATCTACATGCTGTCAGTTTTTGATGAATCAGCCACGTTTCACAGTGTCCTGGGCATGGACAGGTAAAATCAGCTCCTACTTCCCTGGCCATCTTCCAGTGACAATTCAACATGATGCCTTGCTGAGAACTTGTGACTGGAAGTTAAGTCATGAGCTAGCAAATTCTGAATCTGCCTTATATCGTGGGCTTTTTAAAAAATTTTTATTTCCATAATTTCTGAATGGCAAATGCATTTTTTTCAAGTGTAGGGAAAATTCTAGCAAGAAAAATGTGGGTTAATTTTCTGTGGTATGTTTTTTTGGTTTTTTTTTTTTTTTTTTAGTGTGTGCTTTCATATTTGCTTGTGACAGTCCCCAGAAAATTGGAAATGGATGTTTCATTCCTTGAAAGTGAGGCTTTTTCTTTCCTACCCCAGTATTGCTACCTCTTTCTCTTATTTCTGTTGATGACTGTAAAGACTTTCTGTTGCTGTTTACATTCTCTTTTCGTACAGTAGTGACTAATCAGTGTTATTAGAGGTTTGAGAATGGGTTTTATGAGGTATCAATGATGATTCTTATGGGTCTCTTCCAACTTGAGATATTCTGCGACTATGAATATCCTTCTTCAAGGTATTATTGTTTGAGAGAAAGAAAATTACTTCAAATTCTTAGAAAATGTATCAATTTTTAGTATTAGTATTTTAGTATTAGTATTTTTAGTATTTGCAAACTGTATGTGCAGGAAATCTGCGCAAAAGATACAGCACTTAATGTGAGTATTTGAAGTACTTACATCTGAAATACTTAAAAGTGGTGTCTAAAATTAGTTCCTGGGAGTTCTTTATTTCTAAGGGCAGGTTGGATTTGGATTTTCCCTGCTTGACTGATGATCTCTGCTGCACTGCCACTGTGTAATGCTGCCTCTCTATTTTTGCAATGCTGCACTGGTGATCCAAAACTTCAGCACCTATGACACTAATTGCCCATCTGCATCCTTCTACATACAGATTGCCTGATCCACAGAGGACTCATGTGATGTGGGGTATAAGCAAGGTGAGTGCCAGTTGCTGCTGTGCTTTGGCTTCCTTACTACTGTCCTCAGGCTCCTTGGGTTAGAAAGAACAAAGCAGTGTTAGTAGGAACCCATTCCTACTTGAACTTCCTGTTCAGTACAGTTCAGTACAGTCTCTATGTGTCTTCTGCAGGATTTTGCTGTCTCTGGGATTCGTTTTGGTACTTTGTATACAGAGAACCAAGATGTTGCTAATGCGGTGGCTTCTTTGTGTTATTTCCACGGGGTCTGTGGACCAGTCCAGCACAAAGTTGCACAGCTGCTTAGGGACAGAGGTGAGCTAATGTGGGATCCTCATGCCGTCCTGTTATCATGGTACTTCAGGAGATTCAGTCCCTTTACTTTCCCCAGTGGTCTCTTATTTGTGTGGTCAGCAGCTGTCTATTATCCTGAAGCTGCCTCTGTAAGCTGTGGCTGACAGTTCAACAACAGAGGAACTCTCAGCAGAGTTCTTCATCAGCAGACATGGAGGAGCGGCTCTGAAGAAGTCTAATAGTTATATGTGTAAAAGCAGCAAATGTTGTACAGAGCAGGGAACGCAACCTTGTATGAAGAGGGAAATGGAAGGGGACTTCTAGCTTTGTCCTGCTCTTGGGGTGCTACCACTCCAGCCATGAGCACAGCAGAGTGGTAAAGAAGATATGTACACATGTGAAATTGCTACATAATTCTTGTCTCCATTTCTGCTTTTTGAGGAGACAAAAAAGGAGTTGCAGAAGGTTGAAATGTAAAAAGGCACTGTGACTGTTTTAGAAACCTTAGTCAATGTGTGATTTTTATCCTTAGTCACTTTTTGATTAATTTTTTTTTTTTTTTTTTTTAATCTCCTGGCTAGAATGGATCAACCAGGTGTACTTGAGAGCCAATCATGCCCGGCTGAAAGCTGCCCATACGTATGTGACAGATGAGCTGAAGACACTTGGGGTTCCTTTTCTCAACCGCAATGCAGGCTTCTTTGTCTGGATTGATTTCCGAAAGGTTGGTACTGTTAGGAAAGGAGGCTTCTCCTGGGTTGAGGGCAGCCACATGGTGCAGCTTTGTCCAGGGGAAAGTTCAATATTGTGATAAGCTTTTTGTTAAAGCCCCATCTGTTGTCCGATGAGCAGAGGAATGGGTGGCCTGGTATTTCTGTGCATTTCCCTCCTTGCAGGAATCTTACTGCTCTCAAACCACTTTCCTTTCCATTTCTTAATATCCGTACTGCTGTGTTTCAGAGGTAAAAGGTGTCTCCCCTGGCTTTTACAGACCTCATGGGAATCACAAAGTCATGAGGGTCTCTGTGAGTTAGCCTACATGTGACTAACTTCTGGCCCTTCTGGTGACTCTCCTAGTACCTTAGGACAGGAACATTTGAGGAGGAGATGCTGCTCTGGAGGCGTTTTCTTGATAACAAGGTCCTCCTGTCGTGTGGCAAAGCCTTCGAGTGCAGTGAACCTGGATGGTTCCGCATCATCTTTGCTGACAAGACCCACCGACTACAGCTGGGTGAGTGATGCTTCCTTCTGTTTTTCCTTCCACTAGAGAATCTGCAGCACCATTTCCTCCTCTCCTTAGTCCTAAACTACCCTATAATTATTATCCTCTTGTCTTTCCATTTTTTCTCCCTTCAATTCTCCAAATTTTTCTGGATCTGATAGGGATTTGTATCTTACTTAGACTCACCCACTAATGTTTCCTTTCCTTTTACCATTGCAGGTATGCAGCGGATCCGCAAGGTTTTGGAAGAACGAGAGCAGGAGATATTGTCTGAGGAAAAGGAACAGCCTTGTCAGTCAGATCAGGATGGCAAAGCAGATAGCACAGATGAAGTCATTTTCGTATCCCACCATCAGGAATCTCCCTGTGCTGGCAATTCCAATCTCAGTGACCTCATTGGCCTCCTGCAGCAGCAGATGCGTTCATCTGATTGGCTACAGAAAAATACAGCAGAACAGCTTGCATAGAAAAAGCCAGAGATCTACAGTGTGTTCAACAAACTCATGGGAAAATAGTAGGGGCCAGTGTACCTTTAGGCATGTTCTTGAGCACTAATGGCCCTGAGCCCCTAACAGCTCAGCATTGACTTCCAGCAAATAATCTATTTTCTGTATAGCAAGAAAATCACTTTGTAAAACGCCTTCTCTACCCCATTTGATGTCTCTGATTTGTATTATATAGGTGATTTCCTTGGATTGGGGTGAGGGTAGGGAATGGTGGGGTTTTTGTTCCCCTGCTGCCCCTCATCCTGCTGCGTCATTGTATTTTGTATTTCATTTCTAATGAATACGCTCTTAACTCTCTTATAAGGTCCTGTGGTGTTGTGGTGTCTTTTTTTTTACACTTCTCTTTTCACTCTCTCTGGGAAAGTGGAGGTTTGAGATTGTTAAAATGAGTAAGGTTTCCCTTTTCCTTCCTGATATTCAGAAGTAATTATTTCAGTGTCGGAATATGATTGCTTTCACAGAGAGGTGTTTTGGGGGGATAAAATGTCAGTTCCAAGGTAGCCTCAGCTATGGGTCAATAAGCTTGTGTACCTGGCTGTCTCCATGGATGAGGCTCTTAGAACATGATCATTTATTTTGAATTCTGTAAAGCTTTTTCATTTTGAGTTGGTTTCCATTCTATTCTCAGATCAGACAGTATCTAATCCCCGTGGCTGGTAAAATGCCTGTTTTTGTTTTTGTCCTTCACTTTGTATAAATAAAAAGAACCCCATTGGATTCTTAGCCCATTATGTCCATGAAAGAGTAGAGAGATGATGGAAAGACAATATTCTCTCTGCAGCCTCCCTACTCCTGAGGTCCATCCCTTCTGGTTACCAGTGAGATTATTCACAGGAATATTGAGAATGTTCCTTATACCTCTGTGCTAGACGTACCTACTTTATGCCCACAGGCTTTCAAGGTGGCGCCTTCCACTGTTACCTGAACTACTAAGTCTATCATTTGGCAAAGTAGCCTTCTTGACTAAACTATATTCTCTGGTGTCCTGTCCTTCCTCTGTTTTCCATTTTGAAAGACGCTGCACGATGATGACAAATAACTTTTGTTGGTAATCTTCTTTCTCAGATGCAGATCTGTTTAGTTTTTTGAATGTTACATTTATTGATATGGTAAAAGAAGTGTTTTTTTGCATACTTATTAATCTAGAGTTAAAGGAAATGGTCCATAAAAGGTGAATGGAAGCGCACCACTCTCCTCCTGTGATTTGGCAGTACCAAGTTATATATTTGTAGCATTATGGAGTCTGAATACAATGAGTTAGAGAGGTGAAAGTCAAAATTCAGACTAAAAATAGTTCAGGTTATTCTTCGGTCCAGACTTAAGTAAAAGAGCTTTCCTTCTACAATTATTTTGTGAGTTAGGGTGTCAGCGATCGACTATTCTATGGTTCTCTTGATTTTGTTCTTGGGCATTGTAGGTTTGGGCAGAAAGACACGTAACAAGTGACAAAAGCATGTGTGTATCATAATTTGAATTACCACAGCATAGGTAGCAAGTAAGTGCTGCAGCTGCACTTTGGTGATGTATCTATGGGGAAAGTGAGGGGCAGGGGCTGAGGAGCAGGCAGTGCTGTGGGAAAAGGGACTGCTCCATCTCCAACAACAGTAAGGGCAGGTAAGGGTAATGGATAGATGGAAGCATCATATTTGCTTAGTAGTGTGTTTCATTTCCATGTAAAATAGTTCTAAGCACACTCTCACACACCTCTCTGAGGTTATCATCATTTATTTTGCATTTGCACTTAACTGTCCACAGAGAAAGATAAAGCACATGGCAGCTTTTCTTACAAGAGTGGGAGGTGAGATGTGCAGCCAAAGTAGAAATGGACTTACTGACTTGCCCCCTTATTTATCCCATGGAGTATCTGAACAACAAAAATGTGGGGAGAAAGCCCTTTGAAATGACAAAGCCAGGCTGTACAGCCATTCACTGACACTGCATTCTAGAGGACTCTTAGGACAAATTCAAACTATTAATTGCCCCCACCTTTCTACTCATCCCAATGGTTGGAATATATTGCTATCCAGCATTCACTTAGATGTAGATTTCTACTGTTCAGAAAGTGGATTTTCTGTACTGTCCATGTGGAAAAGTCTAGTAAAACGCACCTCTCTGCAGTGCAGAGGCTGCAATACATTTTCAAGATTCTCACAGCTACCATACTTTGGTGCAAAGCCACTTCTGTCTGAGCTTATGGCAACTAAAATTAGCAGGGGAGATGAATATTTTGTTGCCTGGACTGTTTTTCAGTTTTAACTCCCTGAAGAACTCCCTGCGAGGCAAAGTTAGCTTGATAATGGGAACTCAGAATATAACTGGAAATAAGGTTAGAGAAATGTGGCATTAAGAGCCTACTACTGGAATAGGTTTCAGTCATGCCAATGGCTGGCTGCTGCTTGCTACTTGAATGCCCTGCCAGGATGGCTGCTGCTCCAGGGAGCTGCAGCAGGGCTCCTCTGTGCAAGAGCTCCTTGGTCACTGTTTCCTTCCCTTTGCTGCCCCCCCGCCAGATGTGTGCTGTGCACACTATTGCTCCTTGGCATCATTAACAGGTTTTTTGTTTTCTGCATGGCAGAAGTGAATAAATAAATACGTATAGAAGTGAATAAGATCTGCATGCCCCTGCGTTTCGTTTTCCAGTTTGGCGAGCAATAGGCAAACAGACCAGGATCTGAAAAGATAAAGCTGCTCAGAGCTGCGTTAAAATAAGTAATTAAATAAAGCAACATTTAATATAAAATATGAAAGGCCATCAAGTTGAGTATAACACATTAGGATGAATATAAGCCTTCACTTTTTATATCCACCATAATTCTAATAAGTGATAAAATTGCCTTTGTTTATAATTTCTGTTTTTCTGTTTCCACTCATTTGAGCAGAGAAAGGATGCTGGATGGTTTCTGGTCTTTGCCAGGAGCAGTTCCAGCCTCTCAGCCCCCCTCCCAGCACATTTATCCCAAAGGGATGTTTAGAATTTTCCAGCTAGAGAGGTAATTTCCTGCACAGTACACGTTTCTGCCATTAGCAGGATTATATTTCATCAGAAAGATAGTAAAAAAAACCCTCATGGAGTAAGCTGTGTGAATCCCTCCCCAGCCGTATCTGCATCTGAAGTATTGAGCATGCAAACAAATCCAGCTGCTTTTACACATGCAGCCATTTTAGTGGGAGAGGCTCCCCTAAGAGAGGATTGGTTTGGATTTTTTCCTGAGGCAGTTCAGGTCACATTGTGAAGCACAAGGTAGCCTACGAGGATATGTACAAAAACACATGTATCCTGTTGGAGAAGCTCGGAGCAGCAAGGTGCGCTCATTCTTCACTCCAATTAATCCTGTATTTATTACCAGCTTACATAAAACACTAGCAACTGGCCAGTGACAAATGCACTTCACTCAGAGGTGGTTATAAATACCCTGCCTTTTGTCCTCGCTTTGCCAGGACTGGTTATTTTTAGTAGTGAGCCAGTCGACCTTATCAAAATGGGGGATCAAAAATAGTCTGGAAAAACACCGCGAGGAAATGCTGTTTTTAGCAGCCCCGTCCCCTCGGCGCTGCCGGTCAGTGAGGTGTGAGCACGCAGGCAGCGCGGTGCAGGGAGTGCTGGCTTGGTGAAGCACGAATGCCTCCGCACGGCTGACATCTCAGGACTCTGAGGACAGGGAAGCACACGGAGAGCATCCCTATCCATGCGCTTCTGTCACAGCAGGGTTTCTTTGCAGGGAACGCTTGCTCGAACGAATCTCCTCACGGCTCGCATCCTGCTGCGGGAGCTGTAGCAGCAGATCGCTGGAGTCTCTTCACATTCCCTTCTTCTTTCAGTTTGGGAAGGCTGGACCTCGGGTTACAGAGGTTGGCATGTTACAAACTGCTCAGTGCTACTGTGCGCAGCGCAGCCCCATCGGAGGTGTGCGATGGCTCAGGAGGCTGCAGCTGTGCGGATGGATGCTGGATGCAGATATTGCTCAGCCCAGGTATCAGCTGAATGCCATCACTGAGTGCATTGCTCAGTTTTGACATAAGCTGAAGGGCAACGCTCTGGCTTGGTACAAAATCCTGCTTTCTCTTATGCCAGAGCCAAATAGCTTCATTTATCCCAGTTCCTTGATTACTGGTTGTAGCCATTAGTGAGTGTTTTAGATGTGAAGTATAAGCTATGACTTACTTATGTTATGCCATAGGATGAAAGCAAAGATAGAAAAGATGTCCCCAAGCCATTGATTTTCATATTTCCCTTTTAGCACAATCTTTTACTGCAAAGGATTTTTCAGAAAGTGCTGCTTCCAGCACTGACTGCACCAGGTACCTCGCAGCCTCTCCCGCAGCTGCCTTGAGTGAATGGAGACCCAGCACAAAAGGCTCTGCAGCCGTTTCTTTCTGTCCTAGCAGAAAATCCGTGGGGCTGTGTGTGACAGACAGTGAATGTATGGTGTGATGGCGAAGCAACAAATCCCCACGTGACCTCAGGAGGGTCAGATAAGGTGAGACGGAAGAGGGCAAAGCAAGTGAGGTAAAATATCCCACCTCTCTTCTACATTTATAAAAATTGATAGCCTGATACCCAGATGCCAGCTATTTTTACCAGCTATAAATGGCAACAGAGTCTAAAAATAATGCTGTGCTGCAGACTTGTCTGGCTGAGCTGCATCACCAGCATACGAATGGGCTCCCTGAGGTAGACAGAGCACGTCCTCTGTTTTTTCTTGCTTTTTGGATAGAAAAAAAAAAAAAAAAAAGCTGATGCTGCTTGCATTCTGTTCAGTCTAAGCTCTCAATAAAATGGCACTACCACCTGAATTTTCCTATAGTGCTGAAGCCTCCTTGCATGTCAGGATGTCCCCTGGCACAGGGAGGAATGGGCTGCAGCGGGTGTCTGAGCTGCAGCAGGTGCTGCTGGGCTGCCATTTTGAATGGGTGGGCAAAGGGCCCTGGCAGGCTGCACTAGGGGTGAAGGGAAAGCCTGGATGTGATTCTACGCCGTGGCCTCACAGCCAAGGGCTGTCCCCAGGGCTCTGGGGTGACGCGATCTCAAAGGGGGCCATGTGAGGGGACATAGCAGCACCGACACATTTTTGGCAAAGGAGCAGTTCATTGACACCAGTGTGTGTGGTTCTGGCACAGAGTTTTGTGCCACAGATTTATCGTGCCCTGTCAGGAGGGGAGCTGGCTCATGGTTCCCCTTGGGAAAAGGGCTTGTGTGCTTTTTGTTCCACTCACTTATTGCACAGGCCTTCCTCTGCAAGATCATAGAATCATAGAATCACTCAGGTTGGAAAAGACCTTAAAGATCACCGAGTCCAACCACGACCTAACCATTCTACCCTAGCTCTAACAGCCCTCTGCTAAATCACGTCCCTCAGCCACATCCAAACGGTTTTTAAACACATCCAGGGATGGTGGCTCAACCACCACCCTGGGAAGCCTATTCCAGCGCTTAATAAGAATTAATAAACAATTTTAATAACAAGGTGCGAGCAAGAGCTGACAGCTTTAAAAGCAGGCTGGCGGCGGCAGCGCTTCGCTGCCAATTTCGCAAGCCTCAACGAACCCCAAGCCTGCTCGCCGTGCCGCTGCAGCGGCGCCCTCCCGCCACAGCGGGGCGCTCTCACGGCGGCAGGGCCGGGCGGCGCCTCTCTCGCGCAGAGTCGGCGGCGGCCGTACGCGTGCGCGGCGACGGTGCAGGCCCGGGGACGGGCGGGCGGCGCGCCCGGCGCGGAGGGGCAGCCGGCGGGCTGGCTGCGCGCACCCGAGAGACTGCGGGCGGAGGTGAGTCGGGGCCGGAGGCGCGGCCCGCCTCGTCCTGCCTTACTCCGCCCGCGTCCCCGACCCGCGGGTGGGCGAGGAGCTGCGGAGGTGCCGCGGCGGTGGGGTCGGGTGACGCAAAGCTCGCTGCAGACGTGTGGCCTTGGAGGTAATGAGAGCGGTGCGGCCAGCGTGGGATAACGGGGTGAGCGGTCAGAAGCGTGCGGAAAGCTTTTGGTTGTGAAGATCGTCGCGGCGGGGGTCGCGGGGATGTGACTTTGTTGGGCTTTAACAGCTGCTTTGTGGCTCACTTGCCCCGTCCTGGCAGCCTGTTGTCAACAGCTGCCGGATCGGTGTGTCGGCTGTTTTATTATGACTATTTGTGCTTTGTGGTACTTCTTTTGTTCATATTTGTTGTCTGCTGTGCA